TTTGCCCTATGCTCGGCACTTTACGGCCATTGATCAGTGATGGATCTTTTTTTGTGCCAGCACATACTGCGACACAGGACCTCGATTTATACGTTCTCATCTGAAGGACCGGTCGCCACGTCCCATAGTGGGATTCGAACGCACGATGTAAGGATCAACTACTTACTGTTAAAATGAGTTGAGGTCACTGATACATATTTGGGTTATATGTGTTATGTGCTCTGATGAAAAAAATAAATAAAGCAGCTTTTCACACAAATATTTCAAACTAAGAGGACCAACCTTCAACAATATTAGAATAGGGAATTATAACTTCAAAAGAGCGCAAATGAATAAAATCATTAAAATGCACAATAATATGCACATCAAATATTTTCACTATTTTCATAAATTGACATTTTCATTGCACATCAATATGTTTTATTTCTCGTGATTAAGCCACTCTTAAATTTCAAATCCTCTATTTTCATTGATATGCATATTACAAAATTCAAAATTTTGATTTGTTTAATATGGTTATTGAAATTCGGCTCCTCGTCTTTCAAAATTTGCATGTATATTTGATATTTTCTTGATTTAGCCTCTCGTGAAATTCAACTCCTTGTCTTGTATGGTCTTTGATATGCAAAATAAATACTCCAATTCTCCCGATTTAGCTGCTTTTAAAATTCAACGCTTTTTGACTTTTAGTTGAAATGAACATTTTAATTTTTTTTTTCGTTTGGTTTAGACACTCTTTAAATATATCTACCTGACTTCAATTCATTGATTTGCACGTGTAATATTTCATTTCTTTCAGTTGAGCTCTTTTGTAATTCAACTACATGACTTTCATTGATAAATTCATGAAGGATTAATATTTTAATTCTTTTTGGCTTTTTGACTGAAAACTAAAACTTTATCACAATGGCATGGTATATTTATTGTTTACATAATCTATTTACTATTGAATATATTTGATTTTTCAGTCTCTTGATTAACATTTATAAACAAACATTTCTCATTTTATTTATGAATAACTACCCGATTTAATCTTTCTGTATATATATATTTTTTTTTTTTTTTTTTTGGTTATTATTTTTTTACTGTCTTCTGTACTTTAAATTAATTAACTGTATCACATTGCCAGCATCTGATGGTAAGACACAGCTGGATATGGTAAAGGAACTCTCTTTCTAGAGTAGCGCAGACAATAAGATAAGAATAACAGGCATGTTAAGTGACCTCTGCTGTATTTAAAACTTGCTGTGATGCAGATCTAAATTGTGGAAGACAGTGGTTCTTTTATTGTTTGCACAAGAAGTAATGGCATTTACATAAAAAATATTTTATCAACTGGTACAGTTCATTTCTTCCCTTTCAGGTTAATATTTGATTTCACTTTGACTATCTTAACTAGGTGTTTCTCGCTTTGTTTACAAACATAAGTAGTGTTCTATATATAAATACTTCATCACTAGTTATCGCGGGAAAATTGCACTGGTCATTAGCATACTGGATCAGCGCAAGGATTAGTTTATTTATATACCACTAACACGTCAGTCTTGTAAAAATAACCTGGTTTGTACAATATTTAATTGTGTAAATTTTCTTTCAAAATCTATTTTCAAATTACTTAAAATAAGTTGAAATAGTTAGAAATACTAGTATTTATTGACTTAAAAATCAAAACTTTGTTTGCACGACATGTCACAATTTTTGACTGCATGCCCCTTGCACTATTTTCTCTCGCGGATTGACACAAATTCCAAAAAAATAAAATAATAAGTATTTAAGTTTATAAACACTTCAAATCATATCAGGAAACATATTCTTATTCTGTAGATCATGAATATTGTAAATAAGCCAATATTATACAAGAATCTGTATGCAAAATACTCAAACGAAAATGTGATTAGTTTTGATACATGGGGAATCCCTTACCAGTAACATAACTTGAGTTGATGCCATCAACTCGTAAAAATTATTTCAATAGTGGTCGTATTTCAATAGTGGTTACTATTTATATCTGTTATTGAAATGCACTCTCAACCACTATTGATATAATTATTTCAATAGTGGTCGTATTTCAATAGTGGTTACTAACTATGTTTGCTATTGAAATGCACTCTCAACCACTATTGATATAATTATTTCAATAGTGGTCGTATTTCAATAGTGGTTACTAACTATGTTTGTTATTGAAATGCACTCTCAACCACTATTGATATAATTTTTTCAATAGTGGTCGTTATTTCAATAGTGGTTGCAACATGGTTATTTAGGATATCGTCTAGAAAGTCTGAAAGAGTGTTTAAATGTAGAGAGAAATTATAAATTACTTTTATAACAACAAGTTGTGAGTGGTATAATGTCTTTGGCACGTCAGTTAGTCCGTCAGTCCTTTTTTTTATTTCTTAATCTTTTTATAAGCATAATTATTCTTAAGCAGCTGCATAAAATTTCATGAAAATTTGTAGATAACTAGGACACAATGTATAGATATGCATATTACTAAAACAGGCACGTAGCAATATTGTTGTTTAAAATTTGCATTGAAAGGCCGGTTGCCAATTCCCCCGCTTTGTGATACAGTAAAGTGAAATAAGGGTAATGTACATGTAGTATTATATGGGAGAAAATTGTAGTGAAAGAAGTTGGAACTTTGAAAAGCCCCCCTCCCCAAAATAATGTTTTCTTGTTATGGCAATTTCTTTTGTCAACTCTTTTAGGCAAGTTTTTTTTCTCTGGCTGTCCCCTTTCCCCTTTCAAAATCGATGCTACGTCACTGCAATAAATTTTAATTTCTTTATTTTTCTGGGTGAACACTTTGTAAGCGCAACCCTGCTTAATTAAGAGGGCCGGGGGAGGGGGGGGAGTCGTGGCCATTTTAGACAATATTACTCTCCTTTAGCAGAAGAGCTCAATATGCAAATGATCAAATTTAACAGCTGAAATAAATCAATTGTTTTTCTTATCAAATTATAGTTTACGGCTTATTTATTTGATAAAGAAACATTTCATGTATACAATTTATATATTAATTTTAGGGTGGCAACTTTGCTTAAAGTCATTTAAAATCTAAATAGCATGCTTTCTGTTACCCAGGTCTCAAGCTGATCATATACATAAAACCTGTTAGAAAAATGTTATCTTCGCTTAATAGATAAATAATCTTCTTATTCAAATCTAGAAGATATTCTGTCCCTCACATCATTAACTACTTCTGTGATTTCATTTTAATTGATTCGTTTGGAAACTTTTCTGAGATTAGATGTATTAGAATATTCACGCATTTTATTGATTTTTTTTATTTGGGGGGGGGGGGGGGTATACTATAGGATCAACCGCATGTCATTCATGTTTTGTGTTTTTTAGGGATGGGGGGGGGGGGGGTGCGTTTGTGTGTGACTCCTTCATCGTGAGGAAGAATGAATAATTCTTGTCCTCAATCAAAGAATGGGTCCACTGTGGAATAATTTTTAGAGAATAATATTTCTGGTCTACATCATGTACATTCTCATAAATTTCGTTTTTCTCTAAAGAAAAAGAAATCATTTATAGAGGAAAATGAAGTGAAACACACAAGCCTGTTTTTATAGAAGTAAATATGTGCCACCAGGTGATTCGAACCAGGCCACTGTAAAAATGCTGAATGTCAGTCTCAAAACATCCGAGCTTTTCTAATTAAAAGGACATTAAACATAAATATAAACCAAATAATTAAAGAAATATTTTTCATTTTCGGGATTTTTGTACTTTTCACCCACATCGGTACCCCCTGAAAAGCTTTATTCATAAATATTCCTTCGATAAAAACCTATCAAAATATCAGATTCTTTGAGGGGTGGACGGGGGCTGCTTTGGATGGGACTTCTAAGTCTACATGTAAAATTGACTTTTTTTTAAACTGTTAAATAAATTGAAGTTACATATGTATATGAAATTTAGGTTCTTCCGTTTTAGCAATCAAAAGCACAACTATTGGCACGCCCGTCTATTCATGATATTATAAAGAAATCCGAATAACTACATATTATATCGTATCGTATCGTAACATATTATCTTGTACACATGACTACAAGAGGTTAATGTTATCTCGTACGTACGACTTAGTATCTCGTTCGTACGACTTATTATGTCGTACGTACGACTTATTATTTCGTACGTACGACTTATTATGTCGTACGTACGTCTTATTATGTCGTACGTACGACTTAGTATCTCGTTCGTACGACTTATTACCCAGATAGCAAGCTGACGTTGGGCCGATGTTGGCATCTGGTTGGTAGATCGGCTACATATCGCGGTTGGCAGAACGATATTGGGCCAACATCGGTCCGACATTGTCATTACAACAGTCGGTGTATTGACATTGTTCCAACATCGGTCCGACATTGTAATTACAACAATTGGTGCATTGACATTGTACCAACATCGGTCCGACATTGTAATTACAACAGTTGGTGCACTGACATTGTTCCAACGTCGGGCCAACATCAGGCACGTAGCATCGTTCTCAAAAGTGGGGGGGGGGGACATAGAATTTTTTTTACTTACCTGAAAAAGTTGACAAGCAAAAGGATGGGGGTGGTGGTGGCCAACTTTTTTCAAGGCCAACTTCCTTTCACTTCCAATTTTTTTGCTATTTTTCCTTGATTTCACTATAGGCCCAGCCCCCCCTCCCTGTTGCTACGTGTCTGAACATTGTTATTTTTAATGTTGAAGTATGGACATCTTTGTAATGTTGGGCCGACATTGTTGAACCAATGTTGCTATGTAAACTTATGTTGAAACGTTTAAAAAGATATTTATTTAATTTATTTTTTTTTATTCTTTGTTTATTTATTCATTTCTAGTTATTTAACCCTTACAAAACTATGGAATATAACTTAGATTTTTCTCTAAAACTGTCGACCAATAGTACAATTACATCGGGATCGAAGTCGGGCTCGATAAGCAATTAATTTGAACAACACACCCCGCCGAAATTTAAATTTTTCGGGGGTTCCACGCAGCCATGTTGATGTTGTACAGAAGGAAAGTTCGGAAGAGAGTGTTGCGAAAAGGAGAATCATGATTAGCTTTGGATGGAATTTCTGTTTTGGCAGAAGATGAAGACATTTTACGACCCGGTACTGCGGTAGGTACAATGTACAAAATATTTTAACATTTGTCCTTGAATGAATAATTGCTTTTGCGACTGTTCCTTAGTCAGGACACTACACATAAAACGCCTTGTAGTGAAATCATTTGAGCAAGCGCCATTTCAATTTTGTTATAATAATTTAACACTTCTAAACATCTCTCATAAAGATGGATTTCAACCCGAATTTCCGCATTTGGGATCGATTCAGGAATTTTAGTGTTCCTCTCTTCAACATTTACAGAGTATGTTGTACAATGTAATAATATATATTTATTTTTAAATGCATGTTCAAGATAATTTTCAGCATTTATTTTGATTATTTAATAGTTGCATGCAGTGGACTGTGCCCGAGACGATTCCCTAAGCGCCGGCGAGTTGTCAGCTTGTAAAAATGGTGAGAACCAGCTCAATTTTTTTATTTTAAAGTAACACAAATAACCTAACATTGTTTTTATTAAGTTGTATCTTTTAGCATAAAACTATAAAAAAATATTGCATCCACTAAAGTAAACAAGGGGTTTATATTCTTATTATATTCTTAATTTTTAATTTCCTTAATCCTAAAAATACATAACAATGGATTCTGACAGGTAATCTAAACAGTGGCGGATTTGAGGGGTACCCCCTAAAATTGTCAAAGTTAGCGTAAATCACAGTTTCGTCTAGAAAATGTAAATATGTCTAATTGGTAGACCTCATTTTTACCCTACAAAATCTCTAGAATCCAGGAGTTTCCGGGGGCTTCACCCCCTGGGCCCCACTAGGCGGCCCCCAGACCCCCTGCCTAATTTTGCCTAAATAAAGACAATGCAAGATAGCGAATTTCTATTTTACAGTATACTGAACTGTCAGGTTGAAATAACCAATTGTCTTTACAGTCTTGTAGAGCCTTACTTTATTATTTGTCATATATTTTTGTTTATATATGCGAGAGATATTGATTAATTCCTAATGGTCATCTTTTCTTTCAGAAATTGTGCCTGCAAAGTTTGAAGTGACTATGGAAATGATCAATATTGAACTTTCTGAACCTTCCTGACTTAAAGTGAATCCGTTCGTGACTGACATGACCATTTATTTGGCTACCCTCTAACATTACGCCATATTTTATTTGTTTATTATTGTGAATTTCATGGGATATCAGTGAGGAAGTGATTCAAGCAGATACTTGACGAGAAATTTCGAATCTATCTTAATTAGGATCTTTGGCATATTCGGTGAAAATAGCATGTGTTGATTTTATGGGATCTTTTTTATTAATGTAGTTGTGTAGTTGAGATTTTGTACTTAATACATGTGTTTGTCACTCTAGTCTATTCATTAACTTTGTACGGTAAATGTACATGGGCAACTGAAAGTTCTTTGTAACTGCAATTGACCTCTCCCAATGTCATTAAGTCAAATGCCATATTTTTTAAAAAAGAAATAGTTTGTTTTATTACAAAGAATGTCGATCAGTGAGAATACTTTGAAAAAATGTGCTTACATTGTACATCTATAAGTGTATATGTAATATTATATATTTGTTTCAAAACACATTGTAAAAGAAACGAATCTTTAATTTTGAAATATAGATTTGATCTATGATAAATTGTGATGTTATCATTATTTCAGTTTTCATTGTATATTCCTGGGATTTCTTATATTTCCATGGAATTCCATAGATTTCTTTAATATCGTTGTACAAAAATATGTTGGGACAGCATTGGGCCAACATCAGAATTGTAAATTTTGTATATGACATTGGGCCAACGTAGCGCCAACATGTCGGTGCAACGTTGCGTCGATGAGCAAAATTACAATGGCCCAATATAAATTTTCCGACATTGGGCCAACATAACTGACAACAGTGGCCCAACGTTGGACCAACGTCAGAATTATCGTTCTATGACATTGGGCCAACGTTGCGCCAACATGTCGGCGCAACGTTGCGCCGATGAGCAAAATTACATTGGCCCAATATAAATTTTCCGACATTGGGCCAACATAACTGACAACGTTGGCCCAACGTTGGACCAACGTCAGAATTATCTTTCTATGACATTGGGCCAACGTTGCGCCAACATGTTGGCGCAACGTTGCGCCGATAAGCAAAATTACATTGGCCCAACATCATTTTCCGACATTGGACCAACATAACTTACAACGTTGGCCCAACATTGGGCCAACGTAAGCTTGCTATCTGGGTATGTCGTACGTACGACTTAGAATGTCGTACGTACGACATAGTATCTCGTTCGTAAGACTTAGTATCTCGTACGTACGACTTAGTATCTCGTACGTACGACTTATTATCTCGTACGTACGACTTATTATCTCGTTCGTACGACTTTTCATCTCGTACGTACGACTTTTATTATCTCGTTCGTACGACCTAATAATTCGTCCGTACGACTTATTATGTCGTACGTACGAATTATTATCTCGTACGTGCGACTTATTATGTCGTACCTACAACTTATTATGCCGCTTGTACGACATAGTATCTCAGTCGTACGACCTAGTATCTTGTACATACGACTTATTATCTCGTACGTACGACTTATTATCTCGTACGTACGACTTACAATATTTTTTTTTCAAGTGGCAGCAATACGCTTCCGTAGTTTTTAGTAAATCGTGATATAAAAAAAATACAAATCATTTAAACTCTAGTCAAAATTTTTCTATCAAATTTGGAAAACACGTCTATGGTTGACCGTTCTACTCACAATTATTTATTTTTACTCAACTAAAATTAACCAATAACCAAGTTTTTACAAATAAGCATTTATAAATTAGCAGTTTGGATATTGAGTTATGATATCAAAAAATGCGGAACTGTCTTCTATATGTTTATCATAGAAACTTTTTCATTATAAGATTCAGTCTATAAATTCACGAGGAAAACTTCTTAAATTTTATATACATATAGTGCTACTACTGTTGACACAGCCAAATATTTTAAGTTGGGGACACTATCAACTACCAGAAATTCCTTGACAAGCGGAAAAAAGGCATAAGACGTTTAATTGATCTCTCCTTTAGTATCACTACATGTTTTCTATACTATTAATTTAACTATGTTTTCTAAAGATTATATAGTATACTGTATATCGGAAAATCCGTATAGTTAAGGTCCATTTGCAGTTATATTCCCTGTCTTAGGCGTAGGAAGGAAATTGAAAGGGGGGGTGGGGGTGGGGGGTTAAAACAACAAAGAAAGGTAAACCCCAATTTTCAATGCCAATATACATGTATGTATTATGTATGATACATTTTTTTAAAAAGGGCGGGGGCCCCCCCCCCCCCCGGGTTCCGACGCCTATGTATGTCATGTCGCATATTATAAACTCTATCCATTATAGTTTCTAAATGTCATGTGTAAACAATCTGGGAAATTTTCCCCGTTGAGCTATGAGTCACCAAATATCTAACAAGGACTGTGATTGGTTGATTTTCACTTAAGTAAAAATATTTAATTGTGAGTAGAAATGGCCAGTGTCATATTTTTACTGCAGTAAAAATATTTTTACTGGAGTAAAATTAATTAATTGTGAGTTAAATGGCCACATTGTATTTTTACTCCGGGTAGAGAAGTAAATTATTTTTACTGGAGTAAAAATATTTAATTGTGAGTAGCAATGGCCAGTGTTTTATTTTAACTGCAGTGAAAATAATTTTAGTGGAGTAAAAATACATGTAAATAATTGTGAGTAGAACAGCCAACCATACACGTCAAATAAAAAGATGTGGGTGGCAGACGTCCATGAACTTTTCGCATAACCCTCGTATAAAGCTGACACATAACCACTACATTGACAATTCAATCTGCCGCGGGCTTTACATGCAGGTACCTGTCAGGTGCCAAAGTACGTTAAACTCCCGTTGTTTTATTAGCTACACACACCGACATATTTAACACCTTTAATCGTACTGATTAACACAAAGCACTTGCACATAATGTGACATTTTTTGAAATTATTGCCTTAATCAGCACTGGTCAACGCACACCAAACAAGGAGTAGATTCTTGTCCAAGAAATATGTACAAAAAATATGCCTACTTTTCCTTTAAACTAAATGTCACGCCTCTTAAGCATAGCTTACGATAAAAACAATGGTTAAATGTATTAATACTGAAAAAATTTTTCGTAAACCTTTGTTACAAAATCATATAGACTACTATTAGGCTCTCTTTCTTTTCTTTTTTAAAAAGGATGTGCTTGTGAAACAGTAATACTCCCATATGGAAACTTAAGGTAATGGTTGAATTATTTGAAATGCATGTCAGATTTCGAAAATCAGTAGTGTCGGTATCCAATGAAGAGGTCCTAGCTGTTATAAGGAATACAACTGTGAAATAAGAAAGTCCTAGTTATCAAATACTGACTGATGTTTTAATACCAATTGTTCGTCCATAATTTATACACTGGATTGACGACGGATTTTTCTGTTATTTCACGATCATGACAATGAGCAAACGGCGTTTGTGACTGGTCAGCAGGGATACTCACTCCTCCATGGCACCTGATCCCAGCTCTGATGTTTCGGAGGTCTGTGTTTGCTCTTCTCCTATTTTGTATTGTTTTATGGTATATGATATTGAATACTGTTCGTAATCTCAATATCCTTCTTCTATCTGTTTAAAAGTTATGACCGTATTTAAAGTTTTTTTTTGAAAAGTGGATCAATCTCTTTGGTCAAGGCCAAAATGTAAAGTATATTACTAGCTTAATGTCTTGTCACAACGAATACACAGGTGAAGTATAATATTCCTGGCTCCAACTGCTCAAAAGGTATGACCAAAGTTAAAGTGTGGTATATTTTTAAAGTAGGTCAAACTCCAAGGTCAAGATGTCAAATTTGAAGGCACCCAAAGAAAGGCATTGCCAAATGAAATACATCTGTGAAATATAAAACCCTTAGCTCTACCCACTCAATCGGTATGGGTCAAGATAAAGTTGACAATAGACAGATAGAGAGAAAGACAGAAAAACATATTGAAAACAGAAAAAAAATTACTTCTGGGATCTTTCGAAAATAACCTCTGAGGCATAAAAACAATCAATAATGGCACACAATGGAAACACATTGTTGCTGGTTTATCCATGAAAATTACAGGTATCATAAGAAAGTAAGAGGTAATGACATTTATTAAAATACTGCCATGATTTTTATTAGATGCTATCAATCCAATATCGTACATAGAAGTATTACAAAAAATCTATATAATTTGTAGTACGGCAAAGTTTTTTGAAGTTATTCAAATGCCAAATACAGAACGATCTCTTTTCATTTCTAGTTTGATAATAAGGCTGTAAACTGAGACAACAAATGCCTAACTAAATTTTTAGTATTAAAAGTAAAAAAAAGTTTAACCGATATTTTAATATGTATCTAAGTAATAAACTTACTAAGAAATTTTACTTGTATTTTATTACATCCTTTAACTTTTGTTTCAATTTCTGTCAATCAATAAACTCACAAGATGCTGCATTAACGTTTAAAATGCATGTAAGTCGAAAGCGTTGGCTTTATTTTAATTTATTCAGTTTCTCACTTATATTAAGACGGAATTATTTGTCGGAGGGGGAATTTAGTATCGTTACGCACTGAGAAATTTTTGTGTACCAGCTGCCTTTTTATCATACTGCAAAATCTCGGTTTTTTTTATCTCGTCCAATTTAGGACCAATCTCTCTTTACCAACAGAGGGATTGAGCCAACCACGTTATAAAAAAGCTAGGATAAATAGCTTACTCCGTGATTTAGAGCAAACGTTCTAACCACTGCACCATGACCACGCGGGCGACTAGTCAAAACGTAAAGCTTTTTGGCAACCGCTAATGATGCAAAACCACTTAATGATTATAATTTATCTAAGCGTTGTATTTACTGTGCTTAATGCCATTAATTTTTGCATTGTCCCCAGTCTTAACAGAGCTTCGACTTTGCAACGATCATCCCAATCTAGCCACGATCTGAAAAAGTATTGGATCGGGGCAGATCGGAGCCTATCAGCGTTTAAATCGAGCAATTTGGT